CAAAGGGGCCAAACAAGTTTACTGGAAGAAAGATAACCTCTTTAATATATGATGCTGGAAAAGCTGGCTCACCACATGCCAAAGACTGAAACTTGATCCATGTATATCACCATGCACCAAACTAAAGTCAAAATGGATTAAAGACCTAAATATTAAAACAGAAACACTCAATCTACTGGAGGAGAAAGTAGGTAAAAATCTTGAAGGCATAGGGGTAGGCAGAGAGTTCATGAACAAAAACCAAACTGCACAGGAAATACTTCAAAGAATTAAAAACTGGGATCTCACCTTATTGAAAAGTTTTTGCTCATCAAAAGAAATCATCACCAAAAGACTTCTATCTAGAACATATAAAGAATTAAAAAAAATCAGGTCCCCCCAATTCAAAGACCCAATCCAAAAATGGGCATCTGAGATGAATACACACTTCTCACATGAAAAAATACAAATGGCAAATAAATACATGAAAAAATGTTCAACATCATTAGTCATTTGAGAAATGCAAATTAAGAGAAGAGTGAGAGTCCGTCTCTCCCCAGAAAGAATGGCTATCATCAAGAAATAAACTGATAACAGGGGGCTGGGGATTTAGCTCATTAGCACAGTGCCTGCCTGGCAAGCGAAAGGTCGTGAGTTAGATTCCTGGTACTGGAAAAAAAAAAAAAGAAATAAACTGATAACAAATGCTGGAGGGGATGTAGAGATAAAGGAACCTTTCTCCACTGCTGGGAGTGTAGACTGGTGCAAGCACTGTGGAGATCAGTCTAGATATTCCTCAGTAAACTAGAATTAGAGGTCCCATTCAACCCAGTTATTTTCCTTTTGGGTATTTTTTCAGAAGAACTAAAAACATCATACCACAGTGATATATGTGCACCCATGCTTATAGCAGCACAACTTGTAATAGCTAAAACATGGAAGCAACCCAAATGTCCATCAACTGAGGAATGGATAAAAAAGATGTGGCATTTTTATATAACATTACTCAGCTATAAAGAAAGATACATTTGAGGCTTTTATAGGTAAATGGATGCATCTAGAGACCATACTCATAAGTGAAATAAATCAGACCCACATGTGTAAACATGTGGTTTGTTTACAATGTGGTTTGTATTGTCTCCCTAGTGCAAGAACCTGAAAGAGTAAATAAAATCTAAAAGGTACAATATATATAGTGAAAGGGAAAGAAACTGCTCAAAAGGACAGAACAATTGGGATAAGGAGAAAAAGAAAAGAAAGAAAGAAGGGGGAAATATGAATATATATACACAAGATAGCTAAGATAATTGTACTACTAATTTCTATTGTGTTACTGAAAGGAACACTTAATGTTTAACTGTTTGATCAGTCTTCCACACCTATACTTGTTTATCTGAGTAACCAATTTGAAGATACCAATATATAATACAACAACCATTGTCAATTTTCTATCACCTTGTCTGAAATTCTGTATGGTTTTTATTGTTTTTATGTTGTTTTATTTATGTCTGTGTGTTTGTTAATATGTTTTGGTTCTTTTATCTTTAAAATAAAATTGAAAAAGAAAGAAATTCATGACCACCAAATCAGCACCCCAGAAAATTCTAAAAGATATCCTATAAAAAGACAATGAAGCCAACAACACCAAAAAAAAATCTAATGATATGAATTCACCAAGCAGGATGAGCAGTTCAGCAGAAGGAAATAAAAACAGAAGCCAGCAAGAGGAAAATAATATGATGACAGGAATAAGTTAATAACTTTCAGTAATAATGCTCAATGTGAATGATCTAAGATCCCTAATCAAAAAAATAGGTGATTGGAAGTTTGGATTAAAAAATCCTCCTATTATTTTGTTATGCAATTTTGTTTTTTTTCCCATAAAATTTAAAAAAAAACCAATGATATGTTGTACACAAAAAACATTTTTAATTTGTTCATTTGTTTGTTTGTCTTTTTGAGACAGGGTTTCACTATGCAGTTTAGGCTTGCCCTGAACTCACTTTGTAGCCCTAGCTGGCCTCAAGCTTGTGGCAATCCTCCTGCCTCAGCCTCCCAAGTGCCAGGAAAAGAGGCATGCACCACCACGCCCAGCTGAAACACTTTTAATTTGAAAAGAAATTCATATACTAAAATTCAAAGCATGGAAAATAATATGCCATGAAATAGGACCCTGAAAACAACCAGGAGTAACTATACTATTCTCAGACAAAATGAACTTCAAGGCAAAATTGTTGAGAAGAACCAAAGAAAGACACAACACACTGGTTAAGGAAACAATTCAACAGGAAGAGGGAACAATTATAAATATATATACCCCCAAACACTGGTGCACTCAATTTTTTTTTGTCTTTTTGAAACGGGGTTTCACTATGCAGTTCAGGCTGGCCTCGATGTCACTTTGTAGCCCAGGCTTGCCTCGAACTCACAGTGATCCTCCTGCCTCAGACTCCCGAGTGCTGGGATTACAGACAGGTGCCACCATGCCCAGCAATTTTATAATGAAATCTCTACTGGACATTCAAAATCAGATAAACATAGACAGAATTATAGTCAGTGACTTCAAAATACCACTATCATAGATAGATAAACCAGACAAAAACTGAGCAAAAATAATTAGAGCTGTACCACATTTTTGAACAAAGGCATTTTGATATCTACAACAACAGAACACACATTCTTCTCAGCAGCACATGAAACTTTGTTGAAATTAGACCACATACTAACCCATAAAGCACACTTAAATAAATACAAAATAATGAATAACCAAATTCAGCAATATAACAGGATACAAAATCAACACACGAAAATCAATAATGAACCCACCAGGAAAGAAATTAAGAAAGCAATACCATTTTCAATAGCATCAAGAAAAATTAAATAGTTAGGAATGAACCTAAAAAAGGAAGTGAAAGACTTTTACAGTGGAAACTACAGTACTCTGAAAAAGGAGATCAAAGAGGTCATTAGAAGTTGGAAAGCTGTCCCCTGTTCTTGGTTAGGCAGAACTCATATTGTCGAAAGGACCATGCTTACAAAACTGTTATAGAGATTCAATGCACTTCCTATCAAAATACCACCAGCACTCCTCACAGAACTAGAAAAAAATGCTAAAATTCACATGGAAACTGAAGAAACCCAGAATAGCATAAGCAATCCTCGGCAAAAAGAGCAAAGCAGGAAACATCACAGTTCTACATTTCAAGTTACATTACAACACTACTTTGTAAAAATACCATGGTATTGTCACAAAAACAGACCTGTGAATCAACAGAACAGAACAGAGGATGCGGAACAAACCCACGTGCAGTCAGTCATCTTATCTTTGACAAAGTAGCTGAAAACATGTCTGAAGGAAAGGTATCCTCTTCAGCAAATAGTGCTGGAGAAACTGGATATACACAAGGAGAAGATTGAATCTAGATCCATATTTCTCACCACGTACTAAATTAAAATAAAAATAGATCAAAGATCTAAATATTAAAACAGACACACTTAGTTAGGCATAGTGGCTCATGCCTGTAACCCCAGCACCCGAGAAGCTGACAGAGGGGGATCATCGTGAGTTGCTTTTTTTTGTACTAGGAATCAAACTCAGGGGCTCGTGCTTGTCAAGGTTAGCATGCACAAGCCCCTGAGTTTGATCCCCAGTACCACAAAACACACACACACACACACACACACACACACACACACACAATTCTTTTTGAGACAGGATATCACTATGCAATTCAGGCTGCCCTTGAACTCACAGTGATTCTCCTGCCTCAGCCTCCCTAGTGCTGGGATTACAAGCATGCACAACCGTGTCCAGCTCATTGTGCGTTTGAGGCCAGCCTGGCCAACATTGCTTGTTCAAGCCATCCTGAACTAGAAACTTAAGACTCGGTCTCAAAAAGAAAAACCCCAAAACAAAAACAAAATAAACAAAAATAGATGAAAAAAACCCCAAACAAACACAAAGTACTTAACCTGCTAGAAGACAATTTGTAAAACTCTTGAATACATAGGCATAGCATGAACTTTCTGAACAGAACCCCTATTAAAAAAGAAATAAGATCAAGAATCAACTAAAAGGAGTATATCCAATTTAAAAGCTTCTGCACAGCAAAGGAAACCACCAACACAGTGAAGAGACAACTTTGAATATGGGAAAATTTTTTGCCATGTACATCCTGGACAGAGGCCTAATATCTAGACCATATAAAGAAGTCAAAAATAATTAGATCCCCCGAAACAAAAGCTCCAAATCAAAAAATGGGCAACTGAAATGAATGGACACTTCTCAGTAGAAGTACTCATAACCAAACAATAGGGACTGGGCATTTAGCTCAGCGGCACAGCGCCTGCCTGGCAAGCGCAAGGTCATGATTTCGATTCTCAGTACCGGAAAAACAAACAAACAAAAATAAATAAATAAATAAATAAAAATATTTTCAACATCTCTAACCATTAAAGAAAAGCAAATTATGATTTCCCTTACTTTGAACATATTTGTCTGTGTTTTTCCTTTTTTGACTTTTATTCATACATGTGTGCAATACACAATGATTACATTTATTGTAGGGAGTTGTGGCACATCCATTACACACTTCAATTCTCTTTCCCCCTGGAAATTAAATTCTTTACTGTTGATCTGAACATGTTCTGTTTGGGTGAATATTTCGTGTGATTCTGAGAAGACTGCATGTTACATAGTTATTTGATAAAGATTATGCAATATCCAATAAATCCTCTTGAAGCACTATGCTATTAATTTTAACTGTTCTATTAAAATTTTCTGCCTTTTTCAGCTATCAATTACTGATGGAATTGTTTTAAAAAGTTCAGAAATACTTGGAATCGACGATTTTTCTCTTCATACTCATGTTTTTCCTCATGTAGTTTGATCCTCTAGTGGAATATGTATCCTGGACTGTTCTTTTTAGAGAACTGCTTTTCATATCATTATCTGATCACTGTAATCATTATTTACCTTGAGATACAAGTTGAATAATATCAAATTAATATTGTTTCTGCAGATTTTGTTGGAAAAGAAGAAATGCAAGTCAGCCAGGCATGGCAGTACGTGTCTGTAATCCCAGCACTTTGGAGGCTGAGGCAAGAGGATCACCCTGAGTTTGAGGCCAGCCTGGACTACATTGTGAGTTCTTCACCATCCTGGACTATATAGTTGGATCCTGTCTCAGAAAACAACAAAGGGAAAAAAAAGAAGACAAAAAGGTCGGGGAAGAAAAAGGAAAAACTAAAAATGTGAAAGTACAAATTAAACAACTCTGAGATTCTGTCTTATTCCAGAAAGAGTGGCCATAATAAGAAATGCTGGAGAGACTAAAGGGATAAAGAAACTCTTCTATATTCTTGGTGGGAATGTAAACTAGTACAACCACTATAAAAACCAGTATGGAGATTCCTCAAAATACTAAAAATAGAAATTCCATCTGGTTCAGTTATTTCCCTTCCATATACAGTATCTTCCCCAAAGAGTTAAGAAGTCATCATATTACAGTGATACATGCATATCCATGTTTATAGCAGCACAATTTGTAATAAATAACTAAGTATTGGAAGCAGCCTATGTGTCCATAAACAGATGAATGGATAGAGCAAGTGTGGTTTATACACAGTTGAGTAGTACTCTGCCTTCAAAAGAATGTATTTGAGGCATTTGTAGGGAAATTGATACACCTTGCAACCATACTGGTAAGTGAAATAAATCAGACATACAAACTTAGATATGCATGATTTCTCTTACATGAGAAACCCAAAGTATAAGTAAATTTAAAAGAAAAATAAAAGACAAACAGGAAATAGGTAGATAAGTATTTTGCAAATGGGAGGAGGACCAAGAGATGGAGAAGTGGAGGGAGAGAAGGAGAGTGGGATGTTTTATGTCCATGTGCCAACCTCCCATTATGAATGTAATCATTACGTATTTGCAGACCTGGACTTATAAAAATAAAATTTTTAAAAACTAAAGTGATCTGTGTCTAAAAAGGAAAAAAATAAAATTTACAAATTTGACTACACTATACTTTAAAAAATTCCTACATTGCAAAACAATGGCAAACATAACATAGCTATAAACAAGAAATTACAAGTAAAAACGCAGAAATGTATTTTCAACTTCATGACAATGGGCTGCTTTAGTAATTTATGCATAGCTCGAAATCAAATGTTATGAAATAAAAGGAAAAAACAAACAGTGGAGAAAGGGTAAAATACTCATCAGGGTACAAAGAACCATAAATTAACAATCTTAGCTGTGGATGGTGGTGGATGGCTGTAATTGCAGTTCTCCAGGAGGCTGAGCCGGGAGGATCGCCAGTTCAAGGCCAGCCTGGGCAATTTAAAAAGACCCTGTCTGAAAATAAAAAATAAAAAGCACTGAGGGAATGGCTCACTGGGAAGCCCCTGTGTTCAATCCATAGTAGGGAATAAATAAATTAATACCCTTTACTAGCAATAACAGATATGCAAACAAAAAACTAAGATATGATAGTCTATCTTGCAAAATGGCAAGAATTAGATGAAAATGTTCAAGGATACCTTGTGTTGCTGAGTGTGGGGAATTTGGAAATGATTACTAATGCACTGTTGGAGAAGTATATAGTGATGCGACATTCTGGACAATTTCATAAACCTGTTAAATTTTAAAATATGTGCAGCTACTGAGAAAGAAATTGTTTGAAATTTCTACTGTACTCATATTTATAAAATTTCTCCAAGATTATTATATGTAAATATTTTTATGATAGTAAAGAAGATGAAGAGGAGGAGGAGGAATACAAAGTGAAATCAACCAAGATGTCTGAACATGGTCAGACTTACTATTTGAAGTAAATGAATGCTTCATTATAAGGAAACAGTGCAGGAACCAAGTATGCAGGAACCTGTATCAGAGCCAAGCCCAAGGTTTACACTCAAATAGCAGAAAAGCTGGCTTTATCCTGAAAGGACTACAGTTGCACAAACTTTATGTCTTCTCTGCCCAGAAATTCAGACTCTCGAGTCAGTGGTAAAGTAAAATTGTAGGTTATTATACTTTCTTTTCACTTTTATGCGAGCTCTATATTTTATTTAGCGGCTATATTTGATTTTTGGTAATTAAAGTTATGAATAGTGTTTTCGTCAGTATGTAAAGAACGTATCTATAGTTTCACACACATACAAAATCATTTTTCCACATGTCCATAAGATGGCAGCAAAAGCACATCTAGTACCGTGGCAGTAACCCTAGTTTCAAGAGTATTATGCCTGAAACTGAGCACTGCTATTAATGGCTCCGTTGCTTTTGGACGTTACTTGCACAAATTATTTAGTAGATTGTTACTATTTCTGATAAAATAAGTGTATATTCAAGCCAGGCGTGGTGGCGGACGCCTGTAATCTCGGCACTCAGGAGGCAGAGGCAGGAGATCGCTGCGAGTTTGAGGCCAGAGTGGGCTACAAAGTAAACTCAAGGCCAGCCTGAACTGCATAGCGAGATCTTGTCTCAAAGACAGAAAAAAAAAGGGCATATTCACTGTAAACTCTGCATTAGAAGAAAAATACAAGTTACCTGCTGTGACAATCTAGCATTGATCTTCATACTTATAGATGGAATGGGGAAGCTACACACTTTCAGAACAAAATGTGCCTCACGTACAATTGTTTTCTAATCTACTCCTTCACAAATCCATCTGGAGCCTTTCCCCTAAATGTTTTCATCTGGTGGTTTTTTTACGTGGTGCAAGGTGATCATGCTGTGGTTCACTGAAAGTTGTTTGGCTGACTAAAATTAGTAATTTAGGCTGTTAGTCTTCAAATTAACAAAGGATTTCTCAGAGGCAAAATTTTCTGAGAAGATATTTCAATCACCCAATTAATCACCATCCAAATTTGATACATATTTTTTCCAACTTTGACTCAGATTTGTGTGTGTGTGTGTGTGTGTGTGTGTGTGTGTGTGTGTGTGTGTGGTACTGGGGATTGAACCTGGAGCGCTGAGGCTGAGCTACATCTCCAGCCCTTTATTTTTTACTTTGAGACAGGGTCTCAATAAATCATTAGGTTGCCCAGGCTGGCCTTGAAATTGCTCGTGTCTCAGTTTCCTAATTTGCTGAGATGAGGAATTTTTTTTTTTTTGTCTTTTTGAGACAGGGTCTCACTATGCAGTTCAGGCTAGCATTCAACTCACTATGTAGCACAGGCTGGCCTCAAACTCGCAGCAATCCTCCTGCCTCAGCCCCCCAAGTGCTAGGATTACAGGCGTGTGCCACCAAGCCCGGCTCAAGATGAGGAATTTTTACTCTGCAAGTATTGTGCATGCTTTCTACTCTTGATCTCAGACTGTAACTTCAAAAGTAGGTTCCATAAGCAACACAGTACTATATTGTTCTGAAGTTTTAAATTCTACACATAAGTATAATGACGACATTCTTTACTTGGCTTAACACTGATTGGATTTTTACCCGTGTGGGTATAGAACTAGCTATTTTAAATGATGTAAGGCATAATTTATTGATATCATATAATTTATAACACGATCTATTGATAAACCGGCTGTTTCCAATTACTGGCAATCAGGGCTCTCGTGACGGGGTAGTTGCGGATGAGGTCCTCTAGGCGGCGCAGACAGAAGAGAATTGAAGCCCGCTCTGGGCCCTTTGGGTTCCTAGAAGAGGCGGGGCTGACTGACAAGGAACCTTGCAGGTCTCCTGGATGCCGCCACATCGCACTCCCCAAGTCCTCCCGTTTACACTGACCCAGCAGGCGGTGAGCGGCCCATTCCCTGGCCTCCTCGCCACAGCTGTGTGGTATGAGATGCGGTTGTGAGCATTCTCAAAGTTAAGCATTGTGAAAACAGGTCATGCGCACGGAGGAGATTGTATGTAGATCCATATCTCTCACCGTGGACTAAAATAAAATAAAGATGGGCCCAAGATCTAAATATTAAAGGAGAAACACTTAATCCTGGAAGATAAAATAGGCAAGGATTTTCTGAACTGAACCCCAATTACACAAGAAATAACATCAGAAATCAACAAATGGAATTATGTCAAATTTAAAAAGCATCTGCATGGCACAGGAAGCAACCAACAGAGTGAAACAACAGGCTGTAGTATGGGGAAAATTACCAGCTACGCTTCAGACACAGGACTAAAATCTAGAATATATATATATTTATATATATATATATATATATATATATATATATATATATATATATATTAGACCCTCTGAAATGGAAGATCCAATCAAAAAATAGGCAGCTGCAATAGATACTTTTCAGAAGAAGTACAAATGGCAAGTAAATACATGAAAAAAATGTCCAATATCTCCGGCCACTAGGGAAAAGCAAATTAGAACAACACTGTGAACCCGGGTGCGGTAGCGCACACCTGTAATTCCAGCACTGGGGAGGCTGAGGCAGGAGGATCATTGTCAGTTCGAGGCCAGCCCGGGCTACAAAATGAGTTCAAGGCCAGCCAGAAGTGGGCGAAACCCTGTCTCAAAAAGACAAACACAAACAAACAGAAAACCACTGTGAGTCCACCTTACTCCGGAAACAATGGCCGTCATCAAGCGATCAGATAACAAATGCTGGCGAGGCTACAAGGGGGAACCTCTCTACACTGTAGTGGGAATGTGTACTAGTACAACCACCATGGTAATCAGTATGGAGTTTCCTTAAAATCTATAAATAGAAAATCCATTCAACTCAGTTATTTTCCTTTCTAGGCATCTTCCTGGAAGAATTAAAGGCATCATATCATAGTGTTCCATGCACATCCATGTTTATAGCAGCATAACTCATAAGAGCTAAATCTTGAAAGTGGCCTATATGTCTGTCAACAGGTGAATGGATAAAGAAAATATGATATTTCTACACAACAGAGTACCACTCTGTTATAAAGACTGATAAATTTGAGTCATTTGTAGAAAAATGGTTGCACCTTGGGACCATAATATTAAATGCAAAGCATCAGATACACATGCTTAAATATTGCATGGCTTCTCTTACATGAGAAACCCAAAGTATAAATAATTTAAAGAGCAAAAGAAAAGGGGGATAGT